AAGGTTTATTTTCTTTTTCATTTCGAAAGTTCTTCTTCGGAGTTTTTGTTGTCGTGATCTTTTCTTTGCACTGGATGATATCCACTACTGGGAGATGCGATAAAGCGATTTGTGAGCCAGGGGTTGCACAGAGACCGCAGGGCGGTGTGACTGTCAGGGAGCGATTTTGTTTATGGTGTTCTTGAGGACTCTTCTTGCTTTTTTTTTTCTTTGGGGAATTACTTATCAGCTACTGTTTCATAATTGAAAAGCAACTATCCATGGCACTTGCGGGAGCTGTCTTTAAGACCGATGACAACGATCAAGACTTACCTAATGTGGAAGTTATTCCTTTGCTTGTAGATGACTTCGATTTGGATGAATCATTACCCATGTCTGCAAGATAAGATCTACGTAAGAGAGATAGAAATGAATCAAAACCTAGTACAGGCAGTGCTTTCAAACCAGTCACATTCTGAATCCGAGGATTTCAGAAACTGAAAAAACAGATGTGGAACGAACAATACAAAGTTTAAAGACAGTCCTCGCGCTCAACCTGTTCGTAGGCGTCCTTCCTTGTACAAGTAGCCTGGTCCTCAGCTTCTAAGACTGCTCCTAGCTTCGCAGCAAGTGATGAAGGCTTTGCGGTCCTTATATGTGGCAGTTCTGACCTCGTGCCGCTCACCAAAGCTCAAAGGCAACTTTCAGTCACAAGATGTTTTGCACCATTTTTTCACTGTTAAATGGTATTGGCGTTGGATGACGCGTATAAACGATTAGTAAACCAGAAGTGGCCCGATATGCCTTTGCTGTCATGAAACGAGTAGCTCCAGGAACTCGTCCAGAGAAGCTGCCCGGTCCTTGGAAGTTAGAGTGTTCTCTGTGATTTTATTTTTTACGTTTTTCTTCTTTGGGGAGTTATTCGGAGACTACAGGGCTTGCAATTTTTCTTCTTTCTTCTCCATAGCGCTAGTCCCGCGCCGTCGCAGGGTCCGCTGACTACAGGGCTTGCACTTGAACGCCACTATTTCCAATATGGAATCGTGGGGTCTGTCTTTAAGTCAAGCAACGGCTTTAATGGACCATCTGTGGGTCTGCAGCGTTCCCGTGCACTGCTAATGGGTCATTATCAAGGTTAAGCAGATACTCAGATAGAAGCTGACCACGTTCCTATGGAATCGCTTAGGAAATTGGTCCAGCGCCAAATGAATCGACCTGTTGCAGTTTCGTTAGGGCTCCGGGCATTCCCATGTTGGCCGGATCTTCACTTAGTGGCAAAAATTTGAATGGCACTTGAACCTCTTGGCTCAGAATGGCTGCTACAGTGCATCTACCCGTAAGTTTTTTTTTTGCCAACTAGCAGGCCCAAAGAAATAGTTTCGTGACTACAGGGTAAGTGGATTGATTGGGGGAGCAGTTCGTGTATGCTAGATTTGTATAGTTGGTATACTGCCTAGTTAAACATGGCACTGAAATTGATGGATTTTGAAAAAAAGCGACATTTGGTGTTTTCTGACTTTTTTCGAAATTTGGAGTTTCACACTGTTACTATACATTCAGATAAAAAGAGACTCCAGACCAGCAAAATACTCCGATGTCCTGGAGGAGCGCTGATCGACGAGCAGTTCGTCCTGACAGCAGCACATTGTTTTGCCAAGAAGTAAGTCGGCTATTTTTTTCATGCCATTTCATTTTGCTATTGTTTCCAGAGAAGGCAGGGGATCCAGAGCGTGATTTCACCCCTTATTCTCTAATTAGGTTCTTCTTCTTCTTCTTCTTCTCCCTTCTTTCCACCATTTACTATGACTACTACATGAACCCACTCAACCTAAGTCACCTTCGGGGTATAGCATCGTTGCAGGAGCCCTACTGGAAGGAGCCTTACTATCCGCAAGGAAGGTGTGTAGTGTTATAGTGTTGTCGCGTCTGCAGCATGATGGGCGGTGTCAGCGGGAATGGATGCCTTCAAAAACAGGTGGGGAACTAGCTGGCAGCTCGTCGACCAGCCCTCAACTGGACGCGGCCCCATTCTCCAAGCGAATCGATCTGTAGTAGAGGAAACAGGGTTGCTCAAGAGAAATTTCGGGAGAGGGGGGAGGGGGCTATGGGACGCACTTGCACCACGATGCTGTACCCCGCCAAGTGACAAGACAATCGTAGTGTACCGATGGGGGCAGCGAGCGACGCTGCGCCCGACAGACGAGTTGTTCGGACATCTGAACTCGAGCGTTGAAGGGAAGGGACAAGTCTATAGTCTGTCATGGGTCTTGCCTCTATTTCCATTCTCACGAGTTTCGGTTCTCTAACTGTACGAGTTTCGCTTCTGTAACTGACAGACTGATGCACATCGGGAACGCCATTACCGCGGCCGGTCGCCGCACATACGCTGCGGCGCGACAAGTGGACAGGTTTACTCATTGCCTTCTCCTCCACCTTTCTTGCTGGAATCAGTCCGTATAGTTGGTTATAAAGCACCGTCGAAACTTACCCTGGTTCTACAGCCGCATGCCGACAATGTACCGTATCCATGTCGGAGGGCACAGATCTGGTGGTGGCAGAATTCACTTCATCCGAAATATCTCCATTCATGACCTGTTCAATGTGGTGTGGCCAAGTTCGTATGATGTTGCACTACTCAGGTAACCCAATTTACAAGCTTCATCACCCATATAATTGCATAACTTGGTCACTATTCAAGGATTACTCCTTCGGGTAAAACTTAATGGGAGCACTACTGCTCAAGCCATTTGCCTCCCATCATTTTCCGCTGTAACTCATCAAATGTGTGCTGCTGCAGGTAATTTAAAATAAAATTGAATAATTTATTAAATATTTAAATTTAATTTAAAAATAAAATTCATCTAATATTCAGTATACAACATCTCCTTCCTCTGTGGGGGCGGCGAGTCCGCCGACAGCGGCAGCCGTCTGCCTTCGGATAATTGTTGAGGGGAAAAGGTTAAGCGGACTATGATTAAGGCGCAGTCATTTTCAGAAGAAGTGACTAGCGCCTCGTACTTTAGCGCAGCAAGAAAACGCTATCCTATCTTCTGGTGTATAAGGCGTACCCGTGTATAGGGTGCACCTAAGCCTCGTAGCATACCTTACTTTTATGGCCCCTAAAATAACAGCAGAACAAAATTCCAGACGATATGCGCCCAATTTTTTTTTTTTTTATTTTTTTTTTTTTATCCCCAAAAACAAGACGTTCACGATATAACCTCGGCCTTGTTGGTACTATAGAGCACTCCACTATGACCTTGTGTTCATGCTTCGGCGAACGAGCGAATCAGATGACAGAAAAGAGTAGCGCATTGACCGCGCTCCACGCATAATTCTCTGGACTGCTACAACTACAATTCAATCATGACGCCACTTTGACAGTTTTAGCGAGAACTGAACTCAGGAAAGGCGTCTTGAGCGTTTTGGGAGGAACCGCTTATGAGGCAACCCGGAAATTCCTGCACAGGGCGATACCTATTTTCCTTTCCGCTCAGAAGCCGATTCGCTCAGCACACTGACCCTCAAAAAGGTGTTCTCCCGGAACACAGCTTGAAAGCTATATGGGACTTTGCAGCGGTCCAGTGGCGAAATACCAGATTCAGGCGCGCGGCTACAGCCAGTTGCACTGCGCGACTGGAATGGCTCTCCACGAAAGTATGAGGCGGTTTATGCAACCTTGTAACTGCATCATTTGATATCATAATTATGCATAACTCGACCTTTTTAATCGGCGAGTCATAGTACACGATGGAAATCAGTATTTCAATCGAGTTACTGTCTCGCTTGATCGTTCTTTCAGGATGGGGTATGACGAGAGAGCGTGGACGGAGAGCTGATGTTCTACAAGAGATTCCACGTTCCCATCATCCCGTTCGCTCAGTGTAACGATCTCAGTCACTATGCAGGTCGCATCCATCTGCCGTCTATGCTCTGCGCCGGCTACTCACAAGGCATCATTGACTCTTGCCAGGTGAGAGAATATTTGATGACTCTTCAATCACCAACAACCGATAAACCTTTGCAGGGTGATTCTGGTGGACCACTGATGTGCTCCAGCATGGGTCGTTGGGAGCTTCAGGGCTTGGTTAGCTGGGGAATCGGATGCGGTCGACCAGGGCGACCTGGTGTGTATTCGAAAGTCCATGCAGCTTTGCCGTGGATTCAGTCAGAGATGAGCAAATTGAGAGATTAAATTTACTTTCTTCTTCTAGTCTAACATTATTTCACCAATGAAACATGCTAACGTAGCTTACGATCACGTTTTCATCACGGTGTAATGTGGCAACGCTACTGGGAGTGCACTTATACTCTGCGTTAGCGTTTTGAGCCTACGCCAGCATTTTGGGCGTTTCGCGGGCAGGCGCTCGCTGCCCGCGAAAACGCTGGCGTACGCTCAGAAGCTAGATCGATACCTATAGTTTCCTGCTCGCTCGAAAACGCTGCCGTACGCTAGAAACGTTGACGCAAAGTATAAAGGCATTCTATGCTGTTTATTTTTTTTGCGCCTCCCACCATCCTCTTGCCTCACCACCCTGACCTCGACAGAGTGCAGGCGGCCAGGGTCGCGGCGTGCTCCCTTACTATGTTAATGCACTTTTTTTTACGCATAACAACCACGTCTATTTTCATGATGTTGCCCGTACTAGTGAGTATAGTCCCTCCAAGCGCTTGTTGCTGCGAGCGTCAACATATTCGGTCGATAATCGATTGTTTGGCTGGATAACAGAATGGGCGCCGCTCGATCGCCGAACCACCGTGTCTGCGAGAAATCCCAGCTGTTTAGAAACCGATTAATTGATTGTGATATATCATACGAATTCTAATCATTGCCATATTGTCGTGTAAATCAGCAAATGTTCTCATCAGAACTGCACAACGTATTTTACTGAGTTGGATACAGTTGACATGTTGTACTTGTAAATAAACAAAAATAAATATTATATATATTATGTATAGCTGTAGCGCAGTAATCACAACCATAAGCCATATTCAAGTGACACAACATCAAGCATTTTTCTTTCGAGGGGGTATCTCAGAGTGTACAAATGAGTCATTCCGACGTTACACAGGTTGCGCTAAAGTGGTTTGGAGAAGGGGGGGGAGGGGGCTTGCGCAAGTTCCCGCGATCAAGCGGGTCATACTTGAAGCAAAGCAGCTTACAGACTTCAGCGGGACACCTGTCAACGCGTATATTCGCAACAACGCGCAAATCCTTGACGCGCGAACGCAAACAGGACGAGAGTCAGATCCGGTGCGGCGCGTTCTGCTTTGAGGTATACAGATCACAGAGAGTTGCAGATACGAGGCAGTGGCTGATCATCCTATTCATCCCAACTCTCTCAAAAACAGAAAGCGGCGGAGCCAGATCGATGTCACGGCTGATTGCGTTCACGGTCAGTAGGACTAGAGCACTGCTCTTGCAATTCGCAGCCGCGTCGACGTGCGGCACCGCGAAGTCTGAACGCTGCTTGAGCACTGTGGTCGATTTGATCTCGCAAGCGATGTGGCCACTCTGATCGGCACCGATCGTCAGCTTCGCACAATAAGAGCGAACAAATCTCGAAAGTATGTGAGGGCTTGGACAGTTGAACTTAATTCCTTTGAACGCGTCGATCTTCTCTTTTTCTCTGCACTCCCTCGTCCGCATGGCACTTTATGGCCGTTGTGACTTCACACAATCCATCTTTTCACCGATTATAAGTAGCTCAACCACCCCGGAGTCCTCTCCCCTTGAAGAAAGCCCGTTTCCCAGCCGCCATGTGTTTCTTGCACGTTTCGATGCTTTGGCAGCCGCTGCCCTCTATCCGTCTGCGTCACAGGGTTTCGTAACAGGACCATGCACAAAAGTTCAAGATGTCACGTAACCCGCGGTAGGTACAAATAGAAGCTTGCTAAACTGATCACGCATGCCTCCCTCCTGCACTACTTTGCGTTCGACTAGGAGGACAATATCTTTACAAAACGCGATATGTAATTCTACAAAAGGCTGCACGCAAAAAAAAAAATGTAACTCTTAAAAGCACCACTCGAATAGAATATAAGTACAGTTAAACACTTGACATCATTTGCATCAAACATTAAGCAGTTAGTCATTGAGAAAGAGTCCATGGGAATCACCGAAAACTGAAGGCAGTGTGAGGCCTCCCTTGTAAAGTGATCAGGTACCGAGTGTAGTCGGTGGGGGAGGAGAGAAGTACCCGACAGGCTCCTTTATCTGCATCTGTGCTCGTCTTGCGTCTCTTATGCGACGATCTTGTTTGAAGAGGTCTGGCAGGTAAGAATAAGGGCACATGTGAGCAGAGAAAGACCCAGCCTTTTTCACTGCTCTTCTTGCTCTCCCAACCCAACTACACTAGCGAGTATGTACCATGTATCACATAAGACACAAAATCACATTTTTCGTCGAGCGTCGTCCAGTAAACGGCTCCTTGGTAGTCCTCGATTCGGGTAAATCTTGGGAATTCTCGATACTTGGATAAAATATTACCAGAATAGCTTATAATACTAACAGGAGAGTGTTTGAGAAGACTGACAGTAAATTCATTTTTGGCAAGACAATTCTCTTCGACCCGGAGAATTTTCAAATGAGGACATTTGGCAAGAGCATCAGCATTGAGGAAATTGAGGCGATTCTGATTCAAGTTCACCTCGGATGCGTTCAGCGAGCTTACCTGAAATGCACAGTTCCAAACAAGGCAACAATTATTAATTTGCAAGCCACATTTCACCAATGGGAACTACATGTGGAACCAAAATACAAGTTTTCAAGTGTTACGATTCAACAGCGAAGCAAGTAATAAAGAAGCACGCCCCAAATAAGATACGAATTTGTGCGAATTTATTGAGTTGGACGAAGTACGCGATACTTTGAGCAATTCACAGCCATTGGACGAGTTTTTCGAAGGTTGTGACTTTTTGCCAGCAAATCGACACGGCTGTACGTCGGTACATGCTAACATCTTGGAACACTTTTGGTTACTACCATTAACTTTAAGGCTCGCTTTGTTCGTTGGGTGAGGGTTGTTTGACAGAGAACGCGAAGACCTAGGAGCTTGTGATGTATTAGAGGCTCCCTCTAATACATCACAACCTCCTAACATCCTTGCTATAAAATTTCGCAGGTGGACGATCTTTTGCAGCGCAGACATGCGCACCTTATACGGGGAACAGATTCCACATGCTAGCTGTCCGCAAAAAGTACCTTCGAAATAGAAACCTGTATGAAAAAGTTACCTCATCCGGAAGTTCGCTGATAGTATTCTGAGCAAGATTTAACGTTTCCAGTGACATCAAGTGACAAGCAACCACAGGAAATTGCGTGAAGCTATTAGCCGAAATATTGAGCGTCTTCAGTGAAGTACAGCCAACCAAGCTGTCGGGCAGAGATGATAGTTTATTCGACTGCACTTGGAGAATCTCCAGATTTTTCAGCATTCCAATCTCATGAGGAAGTTCAGCTTAACAAAACAACTGGTATTACTTCCAGAAAAAAAAGACAAATCCATGCGAAATCTCACTTACTGAGAGCATTTTCTGAGAGATGTAGCTGCTTGAGGACGGTGAAAGCCCCTATAGTCGGTGGCAACTCTTTTAGTTTATTCTGACTTAGTTCCAGATTTCGTATTACATCGTGAAGCTAGAGACGGAAAGAAAGAATAAATAAGTTATGAAATGCTATAAACTGCTGTAAACAAAACCTCGTTCAGAGAGGACGGTAGAGCCTTCAAGCCACACGACTTCAGCTGAAGAATTCTGCTTTTCTGCGCATTATCAATGTGTCTCTGTACGGTAGCTTGTGATGGTCCCGCTTTGATACCTATAATGAAGAGATCGAATTGGGTCTCGTTTAAAGGAGCCCCCGCGCTCGGATAGTACACGGTCGTCCTTCCTTGTGCAGGTAGTGCAGCCTCCAAGCTAGACTGTCCCACTCTATTCGGCTCCGCGAGCGAGGAGTGAGCTAAACCCGCTGAAAACTCTAGTTCTAACGCCCGCCCATGGACCGCCCACTTGCTAGATGCCATCTAACGGAGGCGCTCAGTTGTTCCTCTTGTTGAGGCGATGGGCATTAATCGGAATTGCACGTCCTTTCTGCCCAATGAATGATTCTGCTCTCTTTTATTACAGTTCATTCATGCGAGCACATACAGTCAACTTCAACCCATCTCGCAAGGTAAAACGCGTAAAAATCACGAGCGACCCAATTTTCGTGGTGCAAAAGCTCGACGCACTAACTACACTAAAAGATGCACGCTACCGTAACCCTAAATTCGAACGCCGAGTTTCGAAGGTTTATTTTCTTTTTCATTTCGAAAGTTCCTCTTCGGAGTTTTTGTTTTCGTGATATTTTCTTTGCACTGGATGATATCCAATACTAGGATATGCAATAAAGCGATTTGTGAGCCAGGGGTTGCACAGAGACCGCAGGGCGGTGTGTACTGTCAGGGAGCGATTTTGTTTATGGTGTTCTTGAGGACTCTTCTTGCTTTTTTTTTTCTTCTTTGGAGGAATTACTTATCAGCTACTGTTTCATAATTGAAAAGCAACTGTCCATGGCACTTGCGGGAGCTGTCTTTAAGACCGATGACAACGATCAAGACTTACCTAATGTGGAAGTTATTCCTTTGCTTGTAGATGACTTCGATTTGGATGAATCATTACCCATGTCTGCAAGATAAGATCTACGTAAGAGAGATAGAAATGAATCAAAACCTAGTACAGGCAGTGCTTTCAAACCAGTCACATTCTGAATCCGAGGATTTCAGAAACTGAAAAAACAGATGTGGAACGAACAATACAAAGTTTAAAGACAGTCCTCGCGCTCAACCTGTTCGTAGGCGTCCTTCCTTGTACAAGTAGCCTGGTCCTCAGCTTCTAAGACTGCTCCTAGCTTCGCAGCAAGTGATGAAGGCTTTGCGGTCCTTATATGTGGCAGTTCTGACCTCGTGCCGCTCACCAAAGCTCAAAGGCAACTTTCAGTCACAAGATGTTTTGCACCATTTTTTTCACTGTTAAATGGTATTGGCGTTGGATGACGCGTATAAACGATTAGTAAACCAGAAGTGGCCCGATATGCCTTTGCTGTCATGAAACGAGTAGCTCCAGGAACTCGTCCAGAGAAG